ATCTGGTAATCTGAGCAATGTAGTTGGGGATAGTGAAATGTAATATAACAACCACAGTTGATTCATATTATTTTGCCTTGAGACTCTGTATCACTTTGAATGTTCTTGCTTTTATTTATTTATGTTTGTGATACTGGTATACTGCTACTGTTCTATTTCTTTGTTTGTTTCTCATTTACTACTCTCTTTAAAAAAATAATCATAGAAATTTACAGAACATTATATGTGATGAATAAATTATGCTCATTGTTGCACTGTTCCTAATGAAGAAAAATGAGAAACTTCATAAATGTAAATGTTCATAATAAAATAATTGATTACCTAAATTTCATGTGCTGGGAAATTTTGCAGCCATTAAAAAAATAATGATGTAAATCTACATTTATTTAAATTCAAAGAGAATAACATACTGATATCCATATTATTAAACCTGATGGCTAATTTTTGTCTGAATTTGCCAGTACCCCTTGATAGACTTCTCTGTGTGGTCTCAGGATGTCACATTCTGTGTCTCTTCTTCAGCCTAAAGGGCTGCTCCTCTCCCCTGCTGTTGGGTGTACTATGTCCTTTTCTCTTTATACTCTCTTCTGTGAACCCAGTAAAGAACATACGGTTTTATGAGCGTATATTGCCAAGCCTTCCCTCCCAAACTCCAGATCTATTTGACCAACTGCCTACTCAGCATTGCCACTTGGACATTTATTAGATTTGTCAGTAGGCTCAGAACTGAATTCCTGGTCTTCCTGCCATGAACGGGCCACCCCCACAACATTTCCTGTCTTACCTAATGGCAGCTACACTCTTCCCATACTCCAGACAGAAATTTGTCAGTCATCCTTGATGCTTGACTTTTTTTCACACCTTGCTCCTCTCCAGGGTTTAAACTTTGGCTCTGTCTTCACCTTCATTGCCACCAGCTCAGAACTACCACCACATCTCACCTAAATCACTGTAGGGGCTCCTAACTGTTCTTGTTGTTAGCCGTGTCCTCACAGTTTGTTCTCAGTGTGTCCATTACATTTTGATATGTCAGTTAGATCCTCTTGTCCTCTGTCCAGTGTCTATGATAAACCTACATTTCACTCAGTAGAAAAACCAAGTCTTTATAAAGCTTATTTCCCCATTGCTCTTTTCAAGTAACACAGGTCTTTTTGCTATTCTTTGAGCCAACCAGGCATGTGAGAAATATGCGTTGTACTCCTTTTGCATTTTAACTCATTTATTAGTATGTCTCCAAACTTTAGTTTTCTATCTACAAAATGTGAACCATCTTCCTTCCCTTCCTGCCTCACAAGATAAAGCTGGTAGTGCTTTTCAGTCCTTCAGCCTCTATAAAACCAAGAGGCATTGTACTTTTATGTATGACCTCTAAAACTTGTCTTGCTTTGTCTAACGATTTCTTGTTATTTCTAGTCTTCTGATTAGATATGATTAATTCAGGTAATATGTGGTATGAGACATCTTTTATGCTAGGCACCCTAGGGAATGAGAGTAGCTAGGTCAGGGTCTCGTAAAGAATTTGCATTCTAGAATTGGGAGAGGGGCCTATTAAAAACAAGACTGCCTAAAAAGTGCAGGTTCTCTAATAAAACTGAACCATAGTAAGCATGTGAAAAAATGTAATCACCTAGTATTGACTGGGAGATAGGAGAAGTGGAAGTATAAAAAGTTTGTAGAGCTGATCTTGCACTGAATCATAAAAAATGGTAGGGAGAATTAGGTAAACATGCAGAAGAGGGAAAATTCTCCTGACAACATCCAATTTATGCTCTGAAAGTATATCCTGTGTTTATGACAATTGTGATTCATTCCTTTGGGAAATGATTATTTCATTTTTGGCCTCATTTTAACTACCGAAAGAGACTTGATATTTTTCAAGAGTTCAGCACAGTGCTTGGTTTAAGAGAAGAGAGGGCAATGGTGAAAGAAGGAAGGAAGGAAGAAAAGAAGGAAGGAAAGATGGAAGAAAGGATAGTTTATAAGGAAGGATGGAAGGAAGGGAGGGAGAAACAGGGGGACAGAAGGAAGGATCATGATTAAGAGCACAGTTATTTGGCGCTAGTTGTGGACCCAGCTCTAACACTTACCAACTCTCTGAACTTGAACAAGATTTTTCACCTTTCTGTGCTTCAGTTCCTCTATCTGTAAAGTGAACAAGTTGATTTTTTTATAGAGTTGATAAGATTGTTTTTGGAAAGGGCTTGGCACATTTTCTGGCAGTGTTGAGTGCTAATTTGGCTAAGCCAAATTATAAGGATGCTCTTAGAAGAAAATTAAGGTATTCTTTGTGCAGCAGTTTAAACATCAAAGAAGTAGGTTTTAATTTTTGTTTTGTTCTGCTGCTTAAAAGATTAGATGAGGGGATGGGGATACAGCTCAGCAGCACAGCATCTGCCTGGCAAGCACAAGGTCTTAAGTTCAATTCCTGGTACCAGAAAAAAATTAACTGAGTAGATAGAAGGAAGATAGATAGATACATACATAGGGAGAAAGATAGATAGATAGGAAAGACCCTTGGTTTATGAACTCGATTTGTTTATAAGGGCCAGGTGTAACTCCACTTGGTTATAAATCAAGACTATTTTCCCCATAAAAAATAAAGGAAATACACATAATTCATTCCAAAATCTCTCAAAGTACCCCTTAACTAATCTTTTCATAATAAAAGGGTTGTATAATTTACTAGAAACACCAATAATTTTCTTAGTGTATTCACAAAAAGTTATAAAATGTGCCTAGTTATAAAAATGTGGCAGAAACAATTCCATACTGTACTCATTATTCAAGTTGACATCTTTGGCTTGCAGGAAGGATGAAGTAGAAGGTGGTTATTGTCTGGAAGGAGAGTCCCTTTCATAAGAACATCAGGAGTCTAGTGGTCTCACCAGACAGCTCCTTTCTCTCCTTGGGAGAGTCTGTAGCCCAGTAGGATGTGCTTCTGGCTCACTAGGTCTCAGCCTTTTCAGAACCGAAAACTGGTCTAAGGTTGTCTAGCTCTATCTTTTCTTTATCACTATTCTGTGGTGTGACATGACATTGTCATTAAGCAAGTGAATGCAACGCTTGACTTTTTGTCTGTCGGGTGTTCTCTACAAATGTTTGTAGCTCTGTCCACTTTTTCAGGATTTCCTTTATTTCAGAAGAAGAACTTTGCTACACTGATTGTTGATACTCCCCCTCTTCTTCAGAAATCTCTTCAGCTGCCATTCTCTGTTGCTCAGCCAGAAGTTGCTGAAGTTCCTCTGTAGACAGTTCCTCTGACTGTTCCTCCACCACTTCCTCAACCTCACCACTGTCTACCTGCAAGTCTGTGGACTCTGACACAGTGATAGTGTAATCAACTGAAGGGTCAACTGAAGGCTCAGGCTTCTCCACACGGCCTTCAAAGTCTGTCTCCTGTATAATTTTAGGCCACATTTTCTTCCAGGCAGATCTCAGTGTCCTTAGACATTGGTGCAGGATTTCTCAATTAACCCTACACACAGACATTGTAATGTTCTTGCCAGAACTCTTTACAGGTCAAATTTGTATCTGAGACCATCTGGAAGCACTTCAGGAACAGTTCCCTGCTGTATAGCTTCTTAATTTTACCCATAATCTGTTGGTTCATGGACTGCAGTAGAGGAGTTTTAGTAGGGGCTGAGAGCCATGGGAATTCTTCAGCCAATGCTTCCAAATCTCATGGGTGAGCAGGAGCACTATCTATAATGAGGCGAGCCTTAAGTGGTAAACCTTTGTCTTCTAGATATTTCTTAACAGTAGGACACAAAGCCTCTGTGATCCACTCAAGAAAAGTGTTCTGGTTCTTGTCACCCAAGCTTTTGTGTTAGATCACCACATGACCCCTCGCCTAGTCTTTATGACTTTATATTTTCTGAACACTCTAGGGGTCTCAGAGTGATAAACTAAGAGAGGCTTTACCTTGAAGTTATCACTGTCCTTGGCACATAGCACTAAGGTTAGCCTATGCATCATAGGCTTGTGACCTTCCTTTTTTCCTGGGTAATGTATGTTCTCCTATGCATTTTTTTTCCCAGAAAATACCAGTTTCATCACAGTTGAAAATTTGATGAGAACAAAAGCCATTGTTGTTTCAAAGTGGTGTATGTAATTTTCAGCAGCCATTTTATCAGCACTGACTGCTTCATCATGCCTAGTTATGCTATAAATCCCTTTAAAATTATGAAACGACCCCTTACTGGCACAAAATGTTTCATCATTATCACTCACTGATAGATTATCCTTTACAACATCTTTATTTATAGCCCTAGTTTTTTCACAAACTATAGACTCAGGCTATAACTTGCCATCAGCCTGACACTAAGGATAGCCTTTCTACCTTGTCTAACCCTGTTGGTCATGAGTTACTAATTTGAGTAACACCTTTAGCAACACTAGTTTCATTATACAAATCTTTTCTCTGTGAGATTGTTGAGATAGTGGATTTCAGCATGCTGTACATATTAGCAAGATTCCTTGCTTAGCTTTTCTAGCTTTTTAGGGGCCATTTGGATAACAGTAATTGATAACAGTAACAGCAATTATATAAAGCACTAACCAAAATCATATCCACAGATATACACATCTGGGCCCACATTGAAGTTTACATATGCTTACATATGCATCTCTGGCATCCATATGCATGAGATGTTTACAACTGCACAAGTGGCCACCATTCAGGTCATAACTCAAGACTTTAGTCATAAGTTCAACCTAAAATTCCAGTTGTAACCCAAATTGTTCAATATGTGAGGCCAGTAGTAACTTGAGGGTCCACTGTAGGTAGGTAGATAGATAGATAGATAGATAGATAGATAGACAGATAGATAGATAGATAGGTAGATAGAGATAGATAGACTGTGTAGTTTTAATAGTTTTCTTTGATTTTCAAAATACTATCTCTATGGGTGTGTTCTGAATTACTGTTACCATGAGAAACAAAGCAAACGGCAAACTTCTTTATTTCAGTTGCTCAATTTGGAGGGAACTCTGTATTTCAGGGTTGTCCTTGGCTATCTTTCTGACCCAAGTGAGGACATTCAGGATCCAGTGAGTGACAAATTCTTCAAGGAGGTATGGGTTTCCACAGCAGCTCGAAATGCTACAATTTATGATAAGGTGAGTTTTGCTTATTTCTACCCCTCACCCTTTTTTAAAAATTGAATTTCTTCACAAAAACATCATTTCTGCATTTTACTGATATATGAGGATCTAATAGTCATATATTCCTAATGAGTGTAAAACAAACAGTGTACCCCCATTGCTTCTAGGCAATCATTAAACAGCAAAGATCAAAAAGTGTCATGGATTACAGTACAGAAGAGACTTTGGTGATGTCCTATCTCCTCATCTGTCATGGTCAGGAATCTTGTCATGAGCATCCTTAGTGCCTGGTTACCCAGCCTTTGAATATGTTTAGTGACAAAGCTAGGTGGGATCCAAAAATGAGGTAGTCTTGGGTTCAATCCAGCTCACTCAGTAGCTGGTGATATCACTTTGTGTATAGTGACTTGGCTTTCTGAGCCTTCCTTTCCTCCCTGTAAACTTGGAGGGATATTCACGAGAGTGATTATGACAATATAAATAATATCTAAAGGGTATTTAGCACACAGTGCATGATATTTCAGTAGTATACATCCTAATGATGACTTTTTAAAATAATAAGACCTGTCCTTTTTTGGATGGCTCTAATTTTAGAAAATTGTTTTAAGCCCAGCATCAGTGCATAGCAAAAGCATCTCCTGGTAACTTCTATCCAGTGGTTATGATAAAGAATGTGCAAGAGTTAAGCATTATGTGATAGTGAAACAGGTTACTTCATGGGGTAGCCAGCTTCCTGTCATGGAAAATATTCAGGCTGAGATTAGTTGATCATCTCTGAGAAGCTAGGATAAGAGTGTGTTCTTTATGACTTCCAGAGTCCCTTCGTCATGGAGACTTTAACCTTTCTTGATAAAATATGACATTGATTTACACTCCTTCACCTCATAGTGCAGACTCAAGGCTGTGACCAAATAGGTCATGTGTATGGAGTCTTTTAAAATATAATTCTACAAATGCACTACACAACCTTATTTGTAGTCTAAATGGAGGCAGTGATAAAAGACCTTTAGAAGATAATAAGATGAAACTGAACATGAATCCTATCTTAAGAAAATTTCTTAGGTATGAGGATGGTATTGTGATTATACAGGCATGTGTCTTTATTCTTAAGAAATACATGCTGAAATACAGAGATGAAATTTTACATCCCAAACTCATTTTCAATCAGCAAACTGTTACACAGGAATTGTAGCATTACCAGTTGTGACACTAAACAAAGGTACAGGTATAAACATCTTTCAACATGAAAAGTTAGAAAAAAATATAATAATGCATATTTTCTCTTAGGTCAAAACCTCCAGTGAAATTCAGGGATAACTATTAACCAAAAATTAACCTTAATATAGGGTAACATCATTGAAATTCCATGCCACTAACTTGAATTTATTCTGTAGCTAATGACGTAGGCAGATGAGATGGAAAGATCAGTGACTTTTCAATGGAAGCAGTCCATTTTGTGGCGAGTAAGAGCAGCAACTCTTAAGTCTCTGCTTTAACATAAAACTAACGGGTTTCATAAAACAAAACTGCCTGTTGGAATAAATTTTTTTAATAAAGGGCATGTGTTTTTTCTTAAACTAACCACTCAAGTTCCAATTTGTGGTTTAATCAGGTGTTCCGGTGCCTTCCCAATGATGAAGTACACAATTTAATGCAACTGAGAGACTTTATAAACAAGCCCATATTAGCAAAGGAAGATCCCATTAGAGCTGAGGAAGAACTAAAAAAGATCCGTGGATTCTTGGTGCAATTCCCCTTGTACTTCTTGTCTGAAGAATCCCTGCTGCCTTCTGTTGGAACCAAAGAAGCCATAGTGCCCATGGAGGTTTGGACTTAAATGATGTACTTGTCTGCAGCACCAAGATTTCTCCCCTGAAGCCCACAGTGCACACACTGACTTCATGGGGATCGCCTAGCCACATCCAGGCCGATGCACTCTCAAGTCCAACACGTGGACCTTTTGGAATGGTTGTGGTCATACTGATGTAAGGACACTGAGCATCAGCAAGGTTTTGTAATTCCTTCTGTCCATCCTTGTAAAAGAGGATGCATTCTTGTTGGTACCATTTACTCAACACTTTAGAACACAAGCAAATTCCATGGTGTATACCAAAATCCATTTGCTAGTAAGAATTTATATGTAACTGTAATACAGATTGCCAAAAGTTTCCTGGGATTCCATCCTCTTCTCTGACCTCCAGGTAGGCAGCCACTCTCTGCTGGACTTACCACATCATTTAGTCTACACAGCACTGCTTGAGATACCCTTTCTTACTAGAAGACATTGTAGAACTGCATGAAGTTTCCTACAGGTTACAGGGATGCTCCTGCCCATCCAGTCCTGTAGTCATAGTGTTCACCCAACCAAGGATGTGGTTATTGTTTCTTTTCAGTCACTATAGGGACAGAAAGACTAGTCTACACAGCAGTCCATACCTTTGATAACATTAGTGCTATATCTTGACTCCATAGAGTAACAGGAAGGAATTAAATTGCAGTACTGAAGCAGAGATTTCAGTTTGTTCCCCAAAACACTGCCAAGATGTGTTCTTGTGATAGAGCCCAACTGATCAAATTTGAAAACATGTTTAGGATATTTGATTATTTGATTACATATCACACAGATAAAACATAGATGGGCACACATTCTTGAGAAACTTTCAGTGTCAGTAGAAATCTAATCTTGATAAGATTCTGTATAGTCTTGTAAAATTTTCATCATCCGTGATTGATTGGAATTGGAATTTCTTCATTTCATAATCAAATGAGTGAATGCAATTTGCCTTGCAAGAGAATCAAAAGTTTCATAATTCCTACCAAGTTAATGAATCTAACTTTATTTGACATTCACTATGTTATCATGTTTAAGGAAAAAAATGATTATAAAATATATGCTATTTCACTTGCATGGTTAAATATACTGTAATATTTCAGCAGGGCTTTCAAAGGAGTTAGGATATTCTTACAGCCTGAAGAGCTAAAGTGGGTTTCCAAGAGGCCTGTGAGCAATAAAAAGGGTACAGGTGCAGGGGTTACACACATGGATGGATCCCTGGGACAGAATCTCCTTGGGGTTCTTCAAAGCAAGCGCTCAGTCTCTATCTTCATGAACTAATACTCAGGTCAGAAAGATGTAAGAGGACTACAGTGTCAATGATACATAATAGCAGAATAGATAGTGTCATACCCGAGAGGCTTTCACAGCTAGAGAAATGAGGTGGAATTTTATAAGCCGTTCTGGAAATGAGTATTTATGAATAAATAACTTATTTTTATATGGCTGGAGATGGTAAAATGACTTAACTTCTTAGCTTTTATAAATGAGACATTTTACGAAAGTTTGATGAAAAGTTTAGAGTAGCCTTTGATGTGCTGAGTGTATTCAGAAATACTTACGGGCTCTTGTATTTTATTTTAAAATATTTTGTATGGCTTATGAACAAACTGGCCTTGGTTTTGTGAAAACTGTTCTTATTAAAACATGAAAAGTAAAGGGTCTAAAAGGAACCCCGCTATGTAGCTCAGGCTGACCTCAAACTCACAGTGGTCCTCCTGCCTCAGCCTTCAGAGTGCTGAGATTATAGGTGCATGTGCTGCCATGGCCAGCAGCTCTTCACCTTAAAAAATCATTCAGTTCAATCCCTCTGCATATTATAGATGAGGTAACTGAGGCTCAGATTGGATGAAGGACTGATTTAAACCCATAAGATATAGATGGCAGAACTGGGACTAGCAAAATTGCTGCAGTCTATAGTTGTCCTCTCCACCTCAACACTGCCCCAAAATGAGGACATGCAGGGAATTTTAGAAGGCTATCTTTAAGCTGTTTTGAACCCTGCCTATATCTAACTACTAGGGTAGAAGAGCCATAAGGCAGAGATTTCACCACTGTTGTTCATAGTGAGTCCCCACAGCCTGGAACAGTGCCTGGTTCATAGAAGAGGTCAGTAAATGTCTGTGGAATGAATATAAAAGGAGGAGAGAGCTAATGAAAAGAAAACCTTTCTATGCCTCAGGCCAGAAATCTTACTGTTGGTTTCCCTTGCAAGTTTTTCTACTTCTCAGAGCCAAGATTTTTATCCACAAAAAAAAGCGACAAAGTGTATTTGGAGGAATCTTATGGAAAATTCAGTGCAATAATTGTGTTTTATGCAGTAGCAGTTTACAGAGTGCAACATTCTGTAAGAACTGCATGGAATGTGGCATGGATGTACTGTATAACCTAATTACCTATCGTTTTTGGACACCGTCAATACCTACTGGAAGTTGAAATGATGTATCTTAACATCGAAATGTCTGATAACTTTAAAATGTAAGTCATGTAAAACCTTGAAAAGCTATTATGAATTGTTCACTTCAAACTGACTGTAATCTTTTGAAATGCCTATAAATACTACTCCTGACATCCTGCAAATATCTGTGATAATTTTTGTTTCTCCAAAGGAAAAATTCTATTATTACAATAAATGAAGAGTAGAAAGTGGTCATGGCCTGTTGAGTTATTCCTTGGAGGAGATAGCAATTCTAAGGAATAGCAATTCTAGCATAATTATGCATTCAGATCACGGGTCAGGCCATGACTCACCCTTTTGTAGGAAGATCTGAACTCTCCACATCACAGAGGAATGTGGGGGCTGGCCGTTAGATAATCTTGTGGCACACTGTGAAACAAAGTACTTTTTCAAAGTATCTTGGGAAGAAAATTTAGTCTATAGGTACTCAATATGGAGAGGTAATTTCTTATGTAAGAACTTGGGAAATTGTGTCATGACTGAACAGTCTTTTAGATGGCAGCAGTAAGCTGAGAAATGATTTTTCAGATGTGAGACTAGGGAGAATACATTTTTATGTATATATAATAAAGAACCTGTACTTCTTTCTGCACCCACTCACCTTGTATTCTTTCCATTTCTGCTTCCAATCAGAGCCACTCCTTATGTTGTAAAAGCCATTTTAGAGAACAAGAAAATATTTTCCTGAAAAAAAATTAAGCCTCACATTAGCCTGCTCATCTGCCATTCAAGGCTTAAAAGGCAACATTTATTTTCCTAATTGTGGAGGTAGGAAGTCTGAGAGCCGGATACCCACTTGATCCATTTCTACCAAACTCTTTGGTATTTCTTCATGTAAAGCTACTAATCCTTTATGAGGAGCCCATCCTCATGATGTAGAACTAGTCGTAGCTTCCTCTCTGTGGTATTGTTTTTGCAAATTAAAATTGGCCTCCACTCTTTTGAGAATAAAGTTTCATTACAATGCAACCTTACCCACTCACAACCATATGCCTCACATATCTTAAAATACTTGCTATCAGTAAGAGAAAACTTGCTGATCCTTCTAGAGAATTCAAACAGAGTACCGTGAACAAACAGATTTGGGGAAGTTTTAATTTCCTCTATCAGTAGGGCTGTCAAACCTCTGTATCCCATGGCCTAAGATTCTACAATCTATTTACCCCAAGACTGCAACCAGGTCCTTTCAGGAATGAAAATTGCGTAGCTTTTGGTTCCAGAAGGATGTCCTCAGCTTCTCCAGCTGAGCAGTTATCAACACAAGTGGTTGGAAATGTCTGCAACTGAAGTTATGGAGAGCCCTGAGTGTTCATATCCAGAATGAAAATTGTGAAATCAAGAAATTCTGTTTCCCTCAATTTCCTTCTGTGTAGTATTGGAAATGATAAATGTATTCTTTCTTTGGTTCACAATCACTGCTTTCTATACCTTGTCCTTTAGCTGCTTTTCTTTCTTAAGATATAAACATTCATTAACTGAGCAATTCAAATTGCAAAATCAGCAGTCTCCCTCTTTTTGAGAATGATCCCTCATTGCATGTGGGGCTTTTGCAGCCAGTGCGCTCTCTGAGATGAAGACAGCACTCTATGCCTGTGGCATCCTCCTGTGCACAGATCACCATTCTCGGCATCTCTAGGCCCCTCCCACAGATGAGGTGCAATGACAGTGATTAAACAAATTTCTTCTAAAAGACAGATACAGCATTCAATAAGCACCTATTGAGCAAGCCCCTGTTGGAGTGCTGCAGGTGCATCAGTGAACTTGTCAGTCCAGGCTTCCCACCTTCATGGTGCTCACATTTGAGCAAATGCACATGATTCCCATTCACCGAATTACCTGAAGTAAGAGGAATCTGGATGCAAGTGAGCGAATTTCCCCAAGGTGGGGAAAATAGCAAATCCTGGAGTATGATAAACACTGTTTTCCGAGGACACCAGAGTAGGAACCAAGGAAGAACATTACCACTATCAGTAACAATAATAATAACAGCTGCTCCTAGGGGCTTTGTTGGACACATCCTCCTCTAAGGACTTGCCATTTGAGTTCTTTAATTGGTTGTACAGTTGGTTCTGTGAAGCTCAGATAGCCACACATGCTCTGATGCTCCCTGACTGTGCTCACCTAGAACTCAGCCCTCCCAGCTACTAGCAATGGGATCTTCTTAAGCGGATGAACCTCTCTGAGGTCTTCAAACCCATGGTAATAAGGCCGAGAGAAACCTAAGTAAAAGCGTAATGCCTGCCCTATAGTAGGTACTTTCTACCAAAGCAGTGCTGCTGGAGCAGTGAGTCAAGGCATCGTGAATGAGGGCAACACACACAGACACAGACACACACACAGACTCACACACACACACACCATGCCAAGCCTAGCATTGACGTCTTTTCACAGTTCCAGAGAATGATTGCTATGGTTTGAATCTCCCTCCCTAAACTTTTTTTTTGTACCAAGAATCGAACTCAGGACCTTGCACTTGCCAGGCAGACAGTTATGCCACTGAGCTATATCCCAGTCCCCCTCCCTAAACTCATGGTGGCATTTAATTTTCATTGCAACGCTGTTAACAATATTGATTTAGCTTCCATTGTAACAGGTGGGACCTTTAAAAGGCGACTGATTCATCAGGTCTCTGCTCTCTTGAGTGGATTAATGATGTTATCGCAGGAGCGGTTATTGCTGGAATGGATTCCTAATAGGAAGGAAGAGTTCAGCCTAATCTTCCCTTCAGTGTGTCTGCTTTCCTCTCTACCATGTTATGCTGAACCCAGAGGCCCTCAGCACAGTGCTTTTGGACTTCCCAACCTTTAGCCCTGAGTCAAAGAACACATTCGTATTGTTTATAAATTATCAGCCTGTGGTTTCTATTTCTAGTAGCAGAAATCAAAATAAGGCAGTATTGAAAGGATAGTCATTTACGGGTGGAGGTTAAAAGCTGAAAGAGCAAATGAAGGGGCCTTGGGAGAAGATGCTGGATGTTTTTATCCAAATCCCTATTATCCATTCGTAGTCTACTATACCAGAGAAATCAACCAGAAATCTAAATTGACACCTCACAAGCCAAAGAGACAGGGTAAATTTCTGAAATCCCTTTATTTGGAGAATGGGAATTTCTGCTATTTTAAGCATTGTTATCTGGTGCAAAGTTTGCAAGTTTAAAGCTCACAGGCTGCATCCAGCACACAGGCCTGTTTGCTTGGAACACACAATGTGGTTTAGTGTTGTAAATTAGTTGCCAAGTATAAAAACTGGTAGATTTTACACAAAGTTTTGATTTTCTGACTTCTGTGAAGAACATGTAGGAGTCACAGGCAATATGCAATTCCTACTGCAGATGAACAACATCCCCTTTACATGTACAGCTGTCCAGGTGACTATGGTCCCCACCCTTCTCTGGTGGGAGCTAGGCTATGACTTGATCGAATCAGTGGAATGTGGCAGCAGTGACATACAACTTTGAAATCTGGGCCTCAAGAGGACTACAGCTTCCATTCCCTTCCTCTTAGAATGCTGCCATCGTGTGAGGATGAGAGGTCAAATAGAGACAGAATCACACAGTGGCCAGCACACATTGTCAGATGTGGGAGCCAAGCCATAATGAGTCATCCAGCTCTAGTCAAACCATCAGGGAAACTCACGGAATGACTGCTCAAATGAACCTAGTCCAAATTGGTGCCCCTCAGAATTGTGAGCAAATGCAATTGTCATTGTCTTAAGCCACAAAGTTTTGGAATGGCTTGTGACATAGTGGTAGATCACTGTTAGAATGAAATTTCTTTGAAGCCTCCCTTTTCACTTTTGCACATTCTAATTGCTCTGTGACCTTTTGTCATCTGGTTTCTAGCCACTTCAACACTATTTATGGACATGTAACATAGAAAGAACATGCCTTGTAAATATGTAGCTTGATGATTCTCACAACACATACAATCAAGTCAACACATACAATAGTCAACACATACAATCAGCACCCAAATGAAGAACAACAAAAAACAGACAGAAACCAAAAAATCCCTTCAGCCCTCACCTTTTGCACTTACCACTTATTCTTCAAAGAGCAAACACTTTCCTGACTTCTTGCAACATAGATTATTGGGTTTACTTTTTCTACTTCACTGTTTTTTTCAGCATGGACACGTTCAGTGTCTAACACACCAGACCAGTGGTGGCAAACCTATGGCAGGTGTGCCACAGCAGGCTGTTTGTACTGTTGAAAGCTCTCCAAGGTTTGCCATCACCACACTGAACATATGTGAAGCTTCCTGGTTTTCCAGATCGCTGGTAGATTTTTAGAAACATGGAGTCCCCTTTCTCCATTCCACCTCTAGGTTTTGGCTGATGCTCCCATTTTGTTCTATACAATGCCACAGCAAACCCAGTGACTCCTGGGGTTTCACTGCTATCTCTGTGAAGGTAGCTATAGCTCAGAGCTCCTAAGCTCCAGACACATATCTGGGCATCAGATGGTTCCACTTTCTTTTCCATGTGGTGCTCAACAGCATGGCCTATCCAAAATGGTGGCCATCATCCACGTTCTCTTCCTGCTGCCACCCAGATGCTCCCAAATGCTCCTTCTGTTCTCCATATTAGGCAACAACCCCACTATCCACCAAGTGCAACTGAAAAATAATTGTAATTGTCATCTGGATTCTTCCTTTTCTCACTCTCTACATCTAATCAGTCACCAAGTCCATCAGTCAGTGCCACTGTCTAAATGTCTCCCAGTTCCTTCATATGTCTTCGCTCCCAGTGCCACCTCCTACTTCACCTCATTCGCCATCACCTTCTCTGGATTAACTAGCCTAATGTCAAGTTTATTATCCTCACAAATCCATTCGTTGGAGTCAGAAAAATTTTTAAATGCAAACTTGCTTTCATCTCTCCAGCTTAAATCCCTTAAAAGACTACTTAAAGCCTTCAGTGCTAATAAGGTTTTACAAAGCTTTTTATAGTTTGGCCCACCCTTGACTCTCCAGCTAAAGCCCTCCTACCTGCCACTCTTCCGATGCTCGATGCTCAGTTTCCTTTATCCATATCCTTTGCCTTCAGCTTTCACAAAGGCTTTTTTCCTGCTAAAAAGCTTGACCTCCCAAGTGTCATTGCTCTCTGAGTATGTCTTCAGCAAGCTGTATTCTCATGGCATTCCTGTACCATGTGTATTGCCGGCTAAAGGGAACCTCGAGTGGGCATGACAG